GTGTGTGTGTGTGTGTGTGTGTGTGTGTGTGTGTGTGTGTGGACAGTGGTTCTTTCTGCCTCACTGATGCTGTTGGCTGCCAATAAGCATCTCGGCGTCTCTGGAGCCGTAAAAAGAAGCAGGTCTACCACACAGTTTGTGGGTTCTCACAATAAAAATAACTCAAAACCTAAAAAAAAGTCAACAATCTTTTTCAGTATCTTTACCCCAACAGAAGGTACAGTCATAATCACTACCCATCAGGGTTTTATTTTAGTAGTTTTTATCCAAAATAAATTAGAAATGATATTTTAATTTTGTGAACATTTCCTAAATGCTGTATTTGCAGGTAATCTAACAGGTAAACTGTAGAGGAGAAAGAACACGTCTATCCTTCATTATTCCTTCCTTCTTCTACCCATTGTTCCTTTTATCTTAATTCCTTCCCTTTTACTTTCTTATTTGTTGCCTTTCTTCTTTTTGTCATTCGTTTCTTCTTTCCTAAAATAGTATTAAACACAGATAACACCCTTTTCAAGCATTTTGTTTTCCTTATTTCCTTCCTTCCTTGCACCATTTACCTTCCTATTTTACTCTTTTCCTTCTTTCTTTCCTCTTCCCTTCCTTCTACCCTCCTCATTCTCCTCATTTTTCTTTCCTCTCATCATTCATTCTTCCTTCCTCACTCCATCCTTCAGCAGAACTCTTTTACTTCAGTGTTTTTGTTATGTTTTATTTGCCTTGTTTGGATGAAAGCAAGTTCTCATAAAGCACAACTTTCCAGCAAATATGTGACAAGTAAAGCAAAATGAAAAAAGCAAAAACATGTTTTTAAAATGTGCTACTTTTTGTATGTTTCCTAAAAAATGTCTTTATCGTGGACACATGTAATTGGTAAAATGTTGTATTCTCTTAATTATAATCACTGCAAAATATGACTTGACTGTTTTACTCTGCTTTCATATTTTATTTTGCACCTCAGGATTGTCAGTAGGTGCACAGATTCCTGATCAACCCCCTGTGAGAACACACTCATCAGTAAAATAATATTAAATACAAATAACACTCACATCAGGCATTTTTGTTTTTTACTTCTCAGGGAGTAATTCAAGTAAATAAAGACCTGATGTAACTTATTAAAATGGAAATTTGTAATAATAAATTTCATGTGCAAATTTATTTTACCAAATGTATTTTAAAAATGTGTATTTTATAAATGTTTAAAAAAAACGACCCACTTTCTCCTCCGAGTGAAGAACCTGAGCTCTAACTTAGATAACACTTCCGACTGCCTGACATTAAAATAAACCAGCGTGTTCTGGTCATCTGAGAGGTGAACGGGTCGGGCCAAACACTGCAGCTTGTGTCACCTCTCGTGCAGCTGAAGCTGGCCCACTTTGTCCTGCTGCAGCGAAGAGGCCTTTAAATAACTCCCTGCTTTATGGACGAGGGAAGAACCGGGCTTTGGGTCGGCTCTGTCCCCACTGCACACACTACGTCCCTCCAAATGTTCTGCCGTCCCCTGACTGGACCCATAACCCACTTACAGTCCTGACGTCACAGGTACAGTTCACACCGAGCATTAGTGTTTGACCTTATTTTGTGCTTTAGAAACATAAAAACATTTTGGATTTCGTGTAATGTGCTCAAAACCTGCTGTCTCTTCTGTTTTCATAAATATTCTCATCTCTCTGGTCAGATAGACATCAAAACTTTCTATTTAGCAGCACTAAGGCTCACTCAGATGGAATAACATTTATTAATAGTTTTAGAGGCAACACTGTGACACTTTAAGGAGACATATCAGTACATCTCTCTGCTTCTTTGATGATCTGGGTTAGTCCACTACTGGACCTGTTTCCTGTCTTCAGAAACCCACTAAAGGTCTAAACTTCATGGATGTGACTCTTGTTTAATTACAGAAATAGGGATTTGTCCCTCTGTCCTCTACGTCTCTCTAGACGTCATTGTTCCTCCATCAATGATGCTTTCATTGAAAAAAGCAAATCCAAAAGTAGAATTCACTGACAGTGTTGATCCAAATGGGACGTGAMGTTTCATGGACTTTTGGGTCAGAGTGTTTTTTTGATCAGATAATCACTTCCCACAACAGATCCACAACTAAAACATTAACTTTAAACTCAACAAAAGCACAKGTTTATTTGCTTTCACAAATTTGTCTGTGAAACAAACGGATAGATTTATTTAACGGTTTAGTCTTCTTGGCTACTCTSAAAATAAAATCAAAATATTGGCTATAAGGGGTGTAACAATTAACTGAAAATTGATTTATAATTGATTATAATTGCTTAAAATGTGAATCAATTCATTTAAAAAGGAAGGAATCGATTTTCATTATTCAAATAGTTTTAATGAGGCTTTTCTCGCCACCTAGTGGTGGGAAATTGGTATTTCAGCATTTTTATCAGATTAGAAATTAGTTAAGAGAATCAACTGAAAATTTATTAAAAGTAGAGTAGTGGAGCCTATTTTTTTTACCTATTTTTTATTTATTACCCTGAATAAAACCTCGTGGTGCAAAGTCACTCTCATCAGTCATGACTAAACCAGTTGGTCCTTTCAGCTGACCATCACAGAGGAAGAAGCTCCAAATGCCAAGCATCTACAGTGACACTGAAGGAGGGAGGGGGAGGAATGGAGCCGAGCAGTGAGCAATAGTTCACTGGATGTGGGATACAGAGTGGGATATGCAGCAGAGCAAGATCAGATGGCAAATATACTAAGAAAGTGAGAGACACGTGGAAGAGGAGAGAACATTGGCTGCCCTCTTTATTCCACATCAAACTGGGAAGAAACATGTTTTTACCTGGACTGGACCAGCAGGCCTTAATATTCGTCAGATTTTGGAGCGCTGTCATCAAGTTGTTCTATTTCCAGGGTCCAAATTATTACTCCGAGTGTTGCTGAAGTCTTTCTGTTCCTCTGGATACCAGCCAAACGGTGACTTTGGAGTATTTAACAACAGGAAAGGTTGAAATTTCCTCTCATTTTGTTGTAGAAACAGATATTTTCAAATTAGGCAAAAAGATGAAGATCCTCTCTGGTCATTTACTTTCCTGCCTCAGGAGGATAGACTGGCTCTACCCTCAGCAGGAGAGGAGAATAAACACGCAACAGTTTGGCTAAAAGAAGACTCTGGGACATCTGGGAGAAAAAGGAAAATTATTCATACGTCTAAGAAGAACAGATGCAGAAAAGGTAAGCTGGTTTTCATTTCAGGCTGTTTTATCTGAGAATGAACTTTTTTATTCTTCAATTCAAATAAATCCAGAGTGAGAGCACTTTGTAAGTCTCCTCACATTAATGTCACAGCTCAGCAGGCAGACTGAGACTTGTGAAAAAGACGACAAGCAGTTACACAAAATACAAGATATTAATATCTCCTCACACACTCTGCTTCCTAGCAACTAGGAAACTGGGAAATAGAAATTATGTAAAACAAAACAAGCAAAAACCTGCTCAAGTGAAGAAAAAATAACCCACTTATTATAAGTTAAAATAAAATCAAACTTTTTTC